AACGCTACCTAAATTTAGGGTATGATCTGCGCCTATCAAAAAAGCTACCACAGATCTATCAAAAACGATACTTTTGCAGCAAAAAGGGGTATTGAAGTGGATGTTAATCAAAGTTTCTCTGATAAATTTTATCTATGTGAACCTGATCAAGACAATGCAAGTGTTAAACTTTTTTATACTCCAAAATATTCAGCACAATACTGCGATGAAACTGAAATGAAGTCATTAGGTGAAATTAATATTGATTTACCTGACACTCATTTGGGACTTGATAAACCTGTATTAGTTACTTTGTGCTTTGGAAAAATGGAAGTGGTTGCAACAGTAAAGAACGAAACGAATGGTGATACATATACTAATTCTTTTAAATTAGAACTTTAGCATATTTACTTTTTCATAATGATAAAACAACACGAGTGTAAGAGCATATAAACTTTAGGAAGTTAAATTTAACTTATCTCATTTATCGTGATCATTATAAATTTATCTTAAGCAAAATTATTTTATTATTATTAAACATCCATAATATATACTATGCTATCCGGTTTATAATCTTATTGTCAATTTTAATTCATGTGATTCGTGTTATTGATGATTCAATCTCTGGGTAGATCTAGTAACAATGAATTATTTAACACGTCATATAATTTATTGCGGTTGTCGAAATGGTTGAAAATGGCAAATAAAAGTTTTTAGTAAATACTAGAATACTCGAATTCTTGATTACTTTAATCTATTGATTAAAGGTCGATGCCCGATGTTATATACATATGATGTAATTGTTTACTACATCGTATGTACGTAAAATCGGGCATCGCCTTTAATCAATAGATTAAAGTAATCAATTCGAATATTGCCATTTTCAATCATTTCGAAAAACTGCGATAAATATAACTCAAGTTCCTGAAATTTATTTTCCTGAATTAACATAATTTTGAAAATGTTAGCATTATATGATTTAGCTATCATTATGTTATGAAAAATAGTTTTCAGAAGTTATATTTGGCTCATTTCACGATTTCAATCAATTCCGGATTGACCTAAGATCATTCTTGAATTTTCACCGATTCCAAAATGAACCAGATCAATCTTTGACGAAATTTTAAGGACCAGGGTGCGACCAATCATTGGCGTGACAAATAAGCGCCAACTAATTTATTTATATAATTGGTGATTATTTGTCACAAAGATGATTGGTAACACCCCGAAATTTAATAAAACCTAGCATTCAACCCGTGGCTTCGCCTCGGGGTTAGTGTTAGCAGGCGAAACTATTTTTGGCAAATGGCGAAAGACGAAACTAAACCGGCGAAAGACGAAACCTGGCAAAACTCTGGCGAAACGGCGAAACTCTGGCGAAACGGCGAAACTCCGGCGAAACTCTGGCGAAACTCTGACGAAACCTCTGATAAATTGAAACCCCTGGGAAAGTCAAAATTCGGCGAAGATCAAGCCCTCTAAGACTTTAGAAAAGACTGAGCCATGT